AAATATGTGAGGCATGTCGGCTGAGCTGAACAGGAGTAGAGACATATGTGTTAGAATGATGACGTCCCTGTGGAGTGCCGAGATCTGATCAACGGTCTGCTTCACCCGGATCCGGCTCAAAGGTGGAATCTCAACTGTGTGAAGAAAGGTGTTATGTTTGAGGGCTTCGACTGGAAGGCCGCTGGCAGGAAGGAATTGGAGGTAGGCGGCAGCGGTGTAGTATTATTGATATGCGAGTGAGAAGCAACGGAGTGGTGTATTGGGAATAGTGAGTTCTGTGAAGGATGGTTATTTGGTTTTGATATTAGGTACCCTGGTTACCAGCTAAAGTCGGCGAGGGCGCTGGCGTGAATGCAACAGACGACACAGCTTTCTGTAAGGAAGGGAGTCTTTTGTTGGATTCCATAATTGCTGGCCTGTTACTGACTCGCATTCCAGGTCGCCGACGAACGTCTATAACAGACCATTACGACCCTTTGCCGCTCCGACGGTTCAGCTTCTGCTACCAGCAGGTCATGGCTGGAGACATTGATGCAACTCCACGTATTTCTGTTCGATCACTGTTTTATTGTTGTTAACGATCTTGTCAGGATCCATAGAGTATCATAATACGTCGAGTGAAGATGAAAATCGAGAGGAAGAAGAAATCTAAATCAGTTTTTTTTGAATTTGTTTGTGTCTCGTGGGCATTATCTCCGAGCTTGACGATGGATTCCATCGTATGGGATGAATATAAATGCTTAAATGAACGATTATTAATAAACAGCTTTGATAGCAGCAGGAAAGTTCATGCCTACAATAGTGAGTGAGGGGCGACCGACTAGGTCTACGGTTTGATGGCATTCAGTAGTAGAGTCGGTAGTCGAGGAGCCTTTACCATTTCTTATCTGTCTACGGCATCGGCCTTGTACACAGTTTCTCCGCCAGGTTTGGCTTTCTCTGATGATGATTTGTCGTTTGAGTTTGTCGTCTCTGGTTGGGCATTACAGGTGTTGGCAGTGTTTGTGATCATGACTACATCTGTTGTAGTACCGGGAGCAGTAGATGTGGCCCCCACAGTCTCGGAATCTCGAGGAGAGGCCTCGGCCGCGTTGTATCCCATAGCGCTGCTTATTGACGAGCTTCGTAGTGAGGATGTCGATCTTAGAGTCAACGCTATGAATCAGCTGGTAGTAGTAGTAGTAGAGGGGTTGCTTGGGCATTCTGAGTGCACTGTCAGGACCATATAGCGTGTGCATTGGGGCCGGTTCGGACACGGGAAGAGCTGCTACCATTCCTCACTGAATTGGTAGTAGTAGTTGCTCGTCGTTGTTTCATCGATCGGCCTGACTTGTAGGCTATGGTTGACGATGTAGCGTCTGATACGGTGGATGAGACTAGGGTCTTGACGGCTATGGCTCGGGTGAGCAGGGGTGGAGGTTCCTAGTAGGAGGGCACATGGGTTGTGTCCTTTGGGAAGGTACTTAATGCTGATTTCATGCAGTGGCTAGGCGGGGCGCAGTACGGTCAGTGTTTGCTGAGACCGCTGGAGGAGCTCGCCAATTCTGATGATGAGCCGAGACGCGAGGAGGCTGTGAAGAGCCTTATAAGCATCGCTAAGGTGTCATCCCTTGTGCTGCTGCTGGTAAGAGTGATTGCCGTTATTCAGGCTCTACCACTGAATACACTGGAGACCTACTATGTGCCGATGTTGCGCAACATGGCGGCTT